CATTCAAACTGTTTGGCTAATTCGGCTATTTTAATTGAGGGATTGTCTTTTTTTTATTTGATAGATTTCTTTTTTTTTTTCAATGCTGCGAAGTGCATGACATTTGTTCTAGCAGGTTTTGTCACTCCGTCTCTAACTATATGACGAGAAACAGACTAGGATTTACCGTATACTTTAAATATTAAGTGAATTATGTCATACTGACATACATATTTACATTAATGGGAAAGATTGCTGAAATTGTAGTGAATTTTATTATAATATGATAAACTTCATTATAATATAGTGAAGTTCGTTATAAGAAAACTTCGTCATATTCTTATTAGCCAACTAATTTAAAACTTCGTTATAGCAAGTAACCAGGTTTTCTTAATTAACTTCGTTATATCCGGGAAACTTTATTAGACAAGGTTTTGGGACATCGAAAAAACTTCATTATAGTCGAAATTCGTTATATCCAGGTTCCGTTATATCCGTGTATGCCGAAGAAAAAAAGCGCGAATTAGGCTACAAAATACCAAGGCTTATCGTATATATTAATATGTGCATTAAACCCCTTCTACACAATTGCATCCTATCATTATATTCGATACAATCTTACAATTTTATACGAAATCCAACAGTGAGACATACTAGTTATAGTTAACTTCCACAGGTTACTTCACAGAATGCAGAATGATAACAACTTCTTGTCAGCTAACAGCAAGATACCGATTTTCAAGCATACGAATCATATTATTATTACACTATCAAAAGAAAACGTGGGCGAAGTTTTGAATATCGTCTAGCTCATTAATTTCCAAGAGCCACCACGCGACATCTACGGACTACCGCTCGTCGACAGCGGTATCACGTCAAACTTATCGCTTTATAACATTCATTTTATTTTAACTTTGCCTACCTACTACTACTGCAACTCACCAACGTAAATGGACGAGAATTTAAATAAAAGGAATAATTATTGCTACGAAGGCAATTTCAGTCTAAATGTTAAAAGTGCTAGACTATCTAAATTGAACTGTCAATTAATTAGTAATTCTCGATATTGCAAAACGAGAGATGTTATTATTAAGGTTCACCGTAAATTCGACATCCTTCAACATTAGCTTAATCCGTTATGTTATTCTTTTTTGTTAATGTTCGGTACCTCTTTTACCCTAACATCTCTTAATTTACTTGGAGTTTTGCGTTCTTTTATTGTCTACACTGAAATTTACTTGGCACCTAATAACGATAACCAAAATTATTAGCCGAGGACGACACCTTTTTTATTTTGAGACCAACTAATTCATTGCTTCATCTATACTCAGTTATCACACAACTGGATTATATATGACAAGACCAAATAAAAGAAAAACCAAATGAAGTTGGACCATAAAACTCATTAGGTCCGATTCGTATCTTGTTATTGTTATATTCTTTTGATTGGGAGCCGGCAGAACGCAAAGGACGAATTCAATAATCAATTCCTTTCATATTCTAAGCAGAACCGTATATAACAATCGAATGCCGAATCCGAACTGATCTCGTTTTACTTCATCCATATATGTACGAAACATATTAAATTAAATCTCTCGCCTTAGGAAAATCATTAAACGTGTGTCGCAATAAATAAACCACAAAATATAGAGAAATCAGTCGGGCATCGGAGAAAACGTAACACCGAAACCATCCAAGTGTGGAGTACACAACTCCGCAACTAATCCAGATGATTGTGAAGAAAACTCTAACATGAAAACCAGAATTGAATTGTGAATTGTCGGCGTGCTTAAACACTACTGCTAATGGCTTCCATCTTCAGATTATCATCGAAAACCTCGTCATCATCTAAGGACTGTCGTTGTGTTTGATATGACAATGATTCAACTGTAGAATCGTCAACAGACCTATAATAGTGCACTGGAGACGCACTAGATTGTTGAAATGGAGAACAGGTAGCAGGCGTTGATTGAAGGTGAGAATGAGAAACAGCATTGTTGTTATTATAATGAGTTGTGTGATTTGGTGGTGTCGACGCCTGATTCAAATAATATTCATTAATATGGATGAAAAGCATGATACATTACAACAAATCAAAAGATAGAAATACAATAGCAATAATGAGCTCTCACAATGAGAGTTAAGGGAAACGTATATGCTAGCGATAACCGATATAAAGTACAGTTATTAAAATTCACCTCAACGTATTGCTGCTCGATTGGCATAATAGGAGTCATTACTGTAGCGTTTCCGACAACGGTTGTAGGAACAGGTGGTTGCGCTCGATTCATTGTACTCGGATGATCTTTATTTGCAGTTGTAGACCAGCCGGACTGCGCAGTGGTAAGATAAGTAGTGGGTGCAGGTCCAGCATAAGGCGGTACCAAAATTGGTTGCGGGGGCCAATATGTGGGAGCAAAGAAAGCTCCCTGTGGCGTTTGTATAAAACTAGGGTCCATCATGGAGGTTATTGGAGTTTGTATTGGAGTAATAGTCCCAGGTTGAGCTGAAGACTTTCTATAAAATTAAGTTTAGTGTTAGTGAGCAGATAACCTTTCATCGATATAATAGAAAGACATGAGAATTACCTCTCTTGACAGTTTTCGATATGCTGGTTATCAATATTCAACGGCTGAGCCAACAGAGGTCCAGGTAATGCTCCATAAGACGTTTGAGCAGGAGTTGTGAGGGGTACCCTATGGAACTCGGCAAGCAACCGCTCCCCAACTACCGGTTCAACTTCTGTACCGTCCCTACTGATCTTTACTTCCCTGTTGGCGTTCCATGGATTACGAAGATGTCTTGTACGTGTAAACGGCAACTTTTGACTAGAATTCAAGGTAGTGTTTTATCAATAATGTGTAGATTTAATAGACGGACAATATGAATATATCTATATACTGATACTTACACTTTTATCCATTCCACTTTGAAAGCTGTACCCCAACTCCGACTTGGCGTAACTTCTTCTTCCTCCTCCTCATTATCTCCATCGTTCTTCACCTTTATTTTCGTCTTGGATTCCTCCGGCACTGGTGACGGGCGCGAAGAGGAAGCTGCTAGTGCTGCTTCATCGATGGGCGTCCATTGAATAGACTCAGTAGCCTCTTTATTGATATGACTTGCCATTCTACGGTATAGACGGTCACGTTATTGTCCTGCAGGATAGCGAGAATCTACTGTAATGATTTACCTGGCATAGCCGTAAAACTCTCCACTTTTGTTTGCACTGAAGATCAGAAACACATTCTCTGCAGTCTGGGATAACGACTATAAACATTAGTGGCTGATAAAAACTAAAAACATAATAGGAATACAAAAACGAAACCTCAACCTTATAAGCTTTATTCAACGCTGCTTCATTGTGTGGTTGTGTAGCCCATACGCCACTCTGCACAGATATGTCCAAATCATCCTGGGTTAATGACTTGAGAATGAAATATCGGTTTGGTGACTGTTGTTTAGTTGAAGATACTGAGGAAGCCGGGGACATAGACGCGATAGATGATTGTCTGAAGTTTTGACGCAGAGGGAAGGAAGAACGTTGTGATCGAGCGGAAGAGGATGTTGTCGATGCGGTTTCGGATGGCGTGCGTGATAGAGTATTTTCCGATGACGGGTTGATCTGTGGATTCGTCTTGGCCTTTATGTCAGCAGCCGTTTGCTACGGTAGAGGTGTGGTCAAGTAATGTAATATCTGATAACTTTTACTTATTAGAATAGGTACTACGAACTTCATACCTTTCTGGGTCGGCAGACTAGCTTTATGCCCTTGAATTCTATGAAATAATCATAACAATAATTCAGAGCCATTTTATGTCGGAACAGTAAATGAACATTAATAGGAGAAACAAATTCATACCACATTCGTTATACTTTTGTACAGCTTCATCAACTGCTTCGTGCGTTTTATAGTTCACAAAAGCACAGTTAGACTTTTTGATCAGGAACACGCTCTAATTGCATTGAGAGAGAGGGGGAGAAATCGTGACGGACAAACACAACACTTAACACTATCACCCATCGTAATCGACCGCATTTTACAATCTATACTCTAAGCAGTAATATTGTACCTCCATATTTTCATCGGCAAAAAATTCTTTCAACTCTTCCTGCGTAGTCGTATCTGGCAAATTGCCAACCCATAATGCTTTATCCAATTGTTTGGGTTTTTTCTGTTGCATTCTCTGCGAATGCTGTGGACCGAATTCAGGTGTTCTATTTGGATCTAAGGAACTTCTTCGCGAAGAAAATCCTGAATCACCACCAGCAGCACTATGAACAGGATGATATCTAGCTGGTTGTTGATGAAACAAAAACGGTGGGGGTGTTTGAAACTGCTGAAGATGTAATGTTGGGACCATGGGCATGGCCGGGTATGAGTATACATTTGAGCGGACGTAAGTTGGCGGAGTTTGTGGAGGCCGCGGAAACCTGTTATACTGAGGATCATAGAAATATTGTCCGTTGGGAGGAAAGAATTGAGGAGTAAAGTAAGGCGACGCAACTGGCATGAACGTGGGGTTATGATATAGACCATGAGACATATCCTCGTACATTGGCGCCGTGATACCATTTGGGTAGACGGAAGTAACGGTGTGAATTGGATTACAATTATTGCCGCTGGTATACGGAAGTTGGCGTTGAGAATTGTTGCGCGGGAATGATTTGGTAGATCGTTGATTTTGTGAACCACTTAATCTTCTAATTTTTGTGGATGTGCTATCTTGTGTCGCATCATCGGAATTCGTACAATTGGCGTCTGTGCTCGTAACACTGCTGTTGTCTTCTGCAGAAGCATATGGAGGCAATTTGCTAATGTCTTTATCATTTTGAGTAGAGCTATTAGTAATGTCTTTATCTTGGCTTTGTTTTATGTTCATAAGAGTTCTCGCTTCTTGACTTGAATTTGAGTTTGTGCTTGACGTTACTTGTTGAGAAGTTTGGGGTAGTGTTGTGGCTTTTCTGGCCGCTGTCATTGTCATGTAGTTGTCTCGTTGTTCAGTTGGCGAAGATGAGGTTTGTGATTCTGGTTCAATTAATTCCTCACGAGACATTATATTGGAAATCTTAATATTGTCGGAATTCAGCCCGTTTGCTGCGTTTTGGTTATCTGACAACGGATGTTACTTGCGAGAAGAATGATAGTCTACTTGAAGACAAACATGAAATAAACGGGTATAAGTTCTCCAATGCTTATCAATTCAAATAGTTGCCTTGCTGTTACAAGAGGACCTCTCGTGAAATATAAGTGCAGTTATTCGTTTTCGTGAACGTGTCAAATGCTGTTGTTAGAATTTTACTAGTTTCTTCTTGTGGTGAGCGTATTTATAGAGAAGTTGGCGATTACAACGAATTTGAGTTACAAAGGTCTGTAATTACAGTAAATAAAACAGAATATGTACAAGAGAAAGGTGGATTTTAGTCAAAAAGATTTTAGTTCAGAGGAGTGTCGAGTATTCTTGTGAATATTTGTGGAGTCGAATAAACAATTAAGTACAAGCGGCATTAAAGTTGGAAAGAATAAACGCCTCAATAAGAAGTTTAGACTATGTTCCTGTGATTCCTGTGATGATGAAATTTTTGTAAGCAACAACGGGTGATGGTAGAAAGTCACTCACGTGATAATCGGACATCCGAGAGGTAGTGTTGAAGATTTACGCGCCTGCTCTATTTTGTTACTACGGTTAAGCCCCACAGTAGACTAACACAAGTGGTCGCTCAAGTCTCATGCAACCAAGCAATAATGCTAATGAACGATCTGCAAATATTTAATGGCTTGCACCTCGTAGTAATAATAATAGCTCATAGCAATGGTTAAATCACCGTCACACAAAATTTTACCTCCTTTTTATAGTCCCATTCATATGAATTCACGTGATCATAAATTCGGTTTAATATAATACAAGAATAGTATATATAATCAATTCAGTGCATGCATACAACGATAAACATCAGACAGCAGCTGTAAAAAAAGCAAAGTATTTGGTATGCTTAAACCTAATAAATAGTAAAAAGATGAAATTAATTAATTAGTTGCAAGTTTTGTGTAAGAAATACACTAACACTAGATAAGCATCTTGCAAACTGTTTTAGATTTGATTTTCAATTGGGATGGAAGACATAATGGATTACTATTATTGAAAGTTGGAATAATGTGAGCCAGACTGCAACAAAACCAGACAAAGTGAACATTTTATTATGTGACATAAATGAGAGGCTGATTATGAGTGTGACTGATGACGTTTTGAAAGTAATTTGGTGCTCATTCATTAGTTATGGACTTGTTAATTTTAATGCTCACTTTATCATACCAGAATGTGAGGAATATAAACCATAACAGAATTAATATAGGATTATCTCTATATAAAAATAAAGTATATGAAATTAATTTACATCAAATCAACCATGGAACCAAAGAATTACAGCACTATCAGAAGCATTTTAAAAAAAGCTCAAGGAGAAAAAATTGCGCCATATGTTTTTAAAATCAATGACACCCAAACTCTCCAGGAATATCTAGATCAAGAAAAAATCACTTATGAAATTTATCAAGAAGAAAGGAAAATTATACTAAACGAACATTAATACCAACACAGAATGAACCAAGAAAAAAACGAAAACTAGAAACATAAAGCAAATATTTGTTTCTCTATTATAATTAATAAATTGTCACGGCTGATGCTGAAATCCGGCTGATGCTGAAACCATGACTTTTCATTGGTTGATCAGATTTTATTCTCTAATACCATTGGTTAGTTTCAGCTTCAGCTGGATTTCAACATCAGCTCTCACAATTAATTATCGATAATCGGGACAAATTTCCATGATTCTTTATATACCGTTCGAGTAACAATAATGAGTTGTAGAAAGGTATGCATATTTTGTTCATTTGAGCAAGCAAGCATTTCATCAATAATAATGACTTAATTGTCCTTGATTTTATTGCTTGAAAAAGCGTTTGAGTTATAATTCGGACTTGATTGTGAGTTTTATGGTAGAGCATACCAGCGATAAGCATGATCAGCAGCAGTAGTAGTAACTCGCAGAAGATTTCAATATAGCGAAAGTGAACATTTTGAGTGGGATTATTGTTTGATTTTTGTAGATAAAAATTATGCTTTCGATAATACAATTGCAATTCGATCGATCGTAATTTGTTTTTTAGCGAAAACATGGGTGAAATGGTGCTGGTTTTATACCAATTTCAAACTATAAGCGTCGTTGAACACCATGGACTTGAAACAGTTAATTTGCCGATCAAACGGCTGCTCTCCTAATGATTTATTCTAGTGTTGCCTATTTATTACCTTTAATACGATGCAGGTTTTGAATTGTGTCGGATTTGTAGTACTCGAACCAAAATTATCATATTTATTATTTTTTTTTACTTGAACAGTATATAAAGAATCATGGAAATTTGTCCTGATTATCGATAATATTGTGATGCTACGTTATAAACAGTGACGTATTCTCTCCTAAATTTCTGCATTTCTCCGACGGCGCAGTAACACCAG